AATAACAGTAATGATCATGATGAAGGCTGGGGGATATTATATATAATATAAAGTGATCACACTTGCTGACCGCTGAAGACGCTGCTCCTCCCTCAGGTTTACTCATCTTCTTGACTTCACTGACACTGTAAAGCAGTTTGGTAACAGATGATGTTGCACTTTCTCCCCCCAAAGTAGGCTACAGACAGAATATGTCAATATAAAGGCGAATGTACTGTAAACTGACAATGGGAATAATATTACCTTGTTCCTAAAGGTCTGGGATCATTGCTCAGGTCTGGAGGTTCATCTTTGGATTGGTTGGTTTTCACAGACAGACAACTGACCGCTGAAGACGCTGCTCCTACCTCAGGTTTACTCATCTTCTTGACTTCACTGACACTGTAAAGCAGTTTGGTAACAGATGATGTTCAAATGTCAGGGCCTTATCTAGCAGCAACATATCTAATACAAGTCAGAGTTCTGCTGTTCTGTGGCTACAGCTGTCATGGCGTTTTCTAGCAGCCAATCCCAGCTGACACTGGGCAAGAGGCGGCGTCCCCTTGAACTGAACAGAACTGTCATATAGACAAACAACCACACACTAGTGATGGGAAGTCCGGCTCTAAGAGCCGATGCTTTGTAGGGAACGAGAAGAGCCAACTCCCGCCGGGGAGAACCGAATCTTCAGCCGCTATTGGTCAGCTCTGCTGAAAATCCGTGCACAGAAGAGCGAGACTATTTTTATGGGCGCACCATTCGACCAATCACGTGCGAGGACAGACTATACTCATACCGTTATGTGAAAGACGTAAGGGGGCGGGGCCAGACGTTCAGACAGCGAGTGTAGTGGTAGTACAGGACAGGTACACACAGACGGGGAGCCAGGTTAAAAGCAAGCGCGTCGGGAAAAACGGAGGAAATGTCCGAAAACCGAAAAAGAAGCAGCATCTGGATGCATTTCAGTGATAATGGAGACTGCAAAGCTGAGTGCCGAGTTTGTAAAATGAAAATATCTGTCAGAGCAGGGTCAACAACAAACTTGCACAGACATCTAAGAACCGCCCATCCAGCCATGAGGCTTCTGGTATTTCTAAATGCCAACCTCCACTAAAGACTATTATCGAAAGTGTTATAATGTTAAGACTTTGTTCTTTATTTGTTTGATTAGTTTGCTGTGGTTCTGTGTTCAGTTAATTTAAAGGTTTGATTAAAATGTTAAACAGTAGTGACTGTCTATTTTTTGAAATAGAAAACTGGATAAAAATAAGGCTTTTATGAAAACACCGAATAAACAAATGCTTAGAAACACACAAACCATTTATAATTGCTAAATTAGGCTGAAATATA